TTATTATTATATAATGTCCATCTTTGTCCCTTACTACAGTCCTTGTTTCAACGTCTATTTTGTCCAATATAAGTATTGCTATCGGCTTTCTTTTCACTTCCATTTGCATGATAAATGTTTTTCCATCCCTTCACTTTCAATCTATATGTGTCTTTAGGTCTGAGTAGAGTCTCTTGTAATCAGCAAAAAGATGGGTCTTGCTTTTTTATCCATTCCATATCCTGTGTTTTTTTGATTGGAGCATTTACATTCCATTTACATTCAAAGTAATCATTGATAGGTAAGAACTTATTGTCGTTTTGTTACTTGTTTTATGATTGTTTTTGTAGTTCTTCTCTGTTTCTTCTCTTGCTCTCTTTTTTTTTTTATAAAGATTTTATTTATTTATTCGAGAGAGAGAGAATGAGAGAGCACACATGAGAGGGGAGGGTCAGAGGGAGAAGCAGACTCCCTGCCGAGCAGGGAGCCCGATGCGGGACTCGATCCCGGGACTCCAGGACCATGACCTGAGCGGAAGGCAGTCGCTTAACCGACTGAGCCACCCAGGCGCCCCTCTTCTCTTGCTCTCTTGTCTCATTGTTTTGTTTGGTTTCTTTAGTGATATATTTGGATTCCTTTCTCTCTATTTTTTGCATAGCTATTACTGGTTTTTGATTTGTGGTTACCAATAGGTTTGTATATAACATCTTCTGCATATAGCAGTCTATATTAAATTGATGGTCCCTTGAGATTGCATCCTTTCTTTACTCCTCTCCCCCTCATGCTTCAGGTATATGGTGTCATAATTAACATCTTCTTCTTCTTCTTCTTTTTTTTTTTTTGTGAATCCCTTGACTGATTGTTATAGATATACTTACTTTTACTGCTTCTGTCTGCCTGCTTTTCATGTTCCTGCTTATGGTCTTTCCTTTAACATTTCTTGTGAGCCTGGTTTAGTCGTGATGAATTTCTTTAACCTTTGTTTGTCTGGGAAATTCTTAAGCTTTCCTTTTATTCTGAATGATAACCTTACTGGATTGAGCATTCTTGTGTGCAGGTTTTTTCTTTCAGCACTTTGAATATATAATACCACTCCTTTCTGGCCTGCAAATGTTCTGCTGGCAAATTAGCTGATAGCCTATGGGGTTTCCCTTGTATGTAAGTTTTCTGTTCTCTTGCTGCTTTTAAAATCTTTCTTTATTACTATTTTCCCATTTTAATTACTGTGTGTCTTGGTGTGGACCTCTTTTGGTTGATTTTGTTGGGGGCTCTCTGTGCCTCCTGGATCTGTATTTCTGTTTCCTTCCCCAGATTCAGGAAGCTTTTAGCCATTATTTCTTCAAATAAATTTTCTGCCCCCTTTCTCTCTCTTCTTCTGGGATCCCTATAAAGTGAATGTTATTATGCTTGATGGTGTTGCTGAGTTCCCTAAGTCTACTTTCATTTTTTATTATTATTTTTCTCTCTTCTTTTTGGCTTGATTCCTTTCCATTACTTTGTCCTTCAGGTTGCTGATTTGTTCTTCCTCTCATCTACTATTTATTCCATCTAGTGTATTTTAAATTTCAGTTAAGTTCTTCATCCCTTTTTTTTTTAATGTTTTCTGTCTCTTTGTTAATAGTCTCACTGAGGTCCTCTACTCTTTTCTCAAGTCCAGTGCGTATCTTTATGACCATTTCTTTAAGTTCTCTATCAGGCATATTATCTCCATTTCATATATCTCTTTCCTGTGATTTTGTCTCATTCTTTCATTGGGGATATATTCCTGTCTCCTCATTTTGACTTACTTTCTGTGTCTGTTTCTGTATGTTAAGTAATTCAGCTATGTCTCCTGCTCTTGAAAGTAGTGGACTTCTGAAGAAGATGTCCTGTAATGTCCTGCAGTGCAGTGTTCCCTCTTTGCCAGAACCGGTGCTTCAAGGGAGTTTCCTATGTGTATTGCACGTGATCTGCTGTTACGGCTGAGCCACTTTTTTCTTCAGTTTAGTCATCTGCAATGGCTCTCTTTGCCTGTTGTAGACAGGGTTTGGTCCTTGTGTTGTTGTGGGCCAGTCTGGGGCTGCCTTGGGCTTAAGTTGAGTAAGACAAGGTGTTTTCCAGAGATGTAGTAATACTGAACTGCTGGGTGCTTTCCCTGTGTTGTCCTCTGAGAAGCTTTTGTTGGTGGGCAGGGCCTGCATTCAGACCAGATGTCTGCCCCCATCCTACTGCTGGGGCCATAGTTGGTTTCACATGTGTGGTTATCTTCCCTTCTCCCCAAGGCATGAGTCACTTTGGAGTAGTGCTGGTCTCTTTTGGAGCTGTTTGCACACTGCTAGACTTATGGCACTGTTTTGAATGGGCTCTGATCAAGGGACTATTGGAGTGGGCAAGTCCACAGAAGAATGTGGGGGTGGGGACTGTGGTTCCAGCAAGGTCTGGGCAATTCCACTGTGGGAGGGAACCTGCAGCCTCAGGGGACTGAGGCAGGCCTGGTTATGGGGACAGAAATGCAGAAGTCTGTGGGAGTGGGATGCACAGTTGTTAGCAAGGTTTGCACAGGTCTGCTCTGTAGGGGACCTGGAGCTGAAGCCTGCCTGGAGGGGATGTGTTCACAGGAGAATGCAGGGGCAGGGCACTGTTAGCAAGTTAGCACTCTGTAGTGGGTGTTGGCACTGTGCTGGTTTCCGCCTGAGTCTGTGTCTTTACTGTGGGGTGATGGGGGGAAATGGTGCTCACCAGGTCCTTTGTTCCTGGAGAAGTCTCCCAACATTCCCTGCCCCTCTAGCACATACTCTGATTTAGTAAACAAATATCCCTCCCATATACTCCAGGCATTTTTAAAACTGCTGCTTCTATGCTGTATCTCCACGTGGTTGTTGGTTGTGTTGTCTCTCTAAGGGCAGGGACTCAGCTTCCTTTGACTCTCCTGGATCTCCTAGAGCTGAGCCCGCTGATTTTTAAAATTCTAGGTGGTAGGCCCTGCTGATTGTAAGAACTCACAAAATTTGGCCCCTTTGATTTTCAAAGCCAAATATTACAGGAATTTGTCTTCCTCATGTGAGATTCCTGTGCCTGGGGTACCTGGTTTGAGGGTCGGTTTTTTTCCCCTCTCCTGGCCACATTGCCCCTTTGTCCCTGGACAGTCCTGTAGTCCATTTAGCTCCCAACCATGTCACCCCCATTCCTACTCTCTTTGATTGGTCCCTTCTCTCCATTTACTTGTGGAGAGCCTATTCTGCCAGCTTCCAGTGTTTTCTGGGTTATTTACACTGATGTGGGTGTTTTCCAGTTGTATTTGTGGGACAAAGTGAGCTTAGAATCCTCCTACTCCTCCATCTTCCCTGGAAGTCTCCTTCCTGTAACTCTTATTTTTGATAGATACTGGAATTCCTGGTGATACCATCCAAAATTCCGTCAATCTTTTTTCTTATATTTTCCCTGTTTATACATATATACATGTGTAGTTGTTTGTGAAATCCTAACATCAGTTTCTTAGGACACTAAATTTGGGGGTGGGGGTTTGTAAGAGCTTCTTTTTTTATTTTGGGTTCCTTATCTGAGTCACAGTAGAATAGCTATGGTTAAAATCTTATAATTTGGACAAAAAGAAAACAGAGATGAATTCATACACTCTATCTTCCTATGAAGTTAAATTAAGAAATGTAGTAAAAGCATTTAAACACTGTATTTGTAAGCTATTCCTATGGAAAACTAAAATATTCCAGGGAACAGTAGGAAAATATATAGATATACTGTTGTTAAAAATACAGTATAACCTAAGATTGTTTTCTCTTTTTAATTCCATAATAATGGGTGAGCTCTGTAGCCTACAATTTGTGGTAATGCTCTGGGTTAGATAACTGATCAATGACCTTACAACATTATCTTTTTTTACATTCAGGTTTTAAAAACTAATTTGGCTGTGAGTAGAACTGGACAGTACCCTGGGATTTTGGATTGTGCCAGGAAGGTCTGGAAGCTTGAAAGAGTTACCGGCTTTTACAAAGGCTATGTTCCTAGTCTTCTGGCTGTCAAACTATATGTAGGCATAGATTTTACTATTTATGAGGTGAGTTTGTTTCCATGATGGACTTAAAAACAGATTTATTAGATCTGAAATTATAATACAACTTAAAAATTTTTTATCAAATTACATTTAAGGCAGAGTCAATAGAGAACACAGTTTTTACAGTTTGTTTTGCTGGCTCCTCTTCCTCAAGATTACATGTAGTTTTCTATGAGTATTGATCTCAACCTCCCCTCTTCTCTCCCTGCACACAACCCACTGTCCTTCAATGACTCCATCTGTTGCTGGGTTTCAGTATAGCTGGTATACCACTTACTTGCAGATCTGTTTTTTAACCTCCCTTCTGATCTCCAGACCACCAAGGAGATTGCACAGCACTGTTTTGTTTTCTATTTTTTCTGGCATATGATTTGGCTCATGTTACTCTTGTTCTGGGCTTCCTTGTGGATAATTTCTGGTAATGATAATTATCTACTCCAAATCAATTAAAGTCACTTGATTTCTCAAAAAATAATAGTAAGGGGGGAGGAGGAGTTAAGATGGTGGAGTAGTAGGGGGATCCTGAGCTTGCCTCATCCCTAGCTTGATCGACATCAAATCATTTTGAACAACTAGGAAATCGATCTGAGGATTAAGAAAACAATCTGCACAATTGGAAGGAGAGAACATGGCAGATGTGAAGTTTGGAGCCATGAATTGGGGGAGAGAAAAGCTGCGGTGCCATGAAGGGGAGGGAGCCCTTTTCACAGAGTGAAGTCAGGGAGAGAGGGAAAGAGCGGGAGAGAGAATAGCGCATAGGGTTCGCACAATACGCTGCAGTGAGGGGATCCCCTGGGTGGCACTGGGAGAGAAAGCTCCCCTTCCTGGAGTACATTTGGAAGAGAGTTTTTGCCTCTCCAAGGACAAAGGGCCCACTAGGAGTCTTCGAGTAGCTCTTCAGCAGCAGGGGACAGAGGCGCACACAGAGGGCAGATAACCTGGTGGCAGCTTTTTGCTGTGCATCAGCATAGACTCCAGCCACCATGCACATACCGTTCAACTGCTTTTCTGGGACAGAACGGTACCGGGTGCAATGCCAGGCTCTCCTCTGGGGGAGGGGAGCGGTCTGTGCCTTGCCAGGCCCTTTAAGAGTTGGAGTTTTGAATCCCAGCTATTCACCAGAGATAAAACACGGGAGAACTGTGGCGCCTGGCCTGCCAACAGCCCAGGCACAGACAAGTTGAGGGCAGGGGTCTGATGAAAGCCTGGGACACAGGAGAGGAGATTGTTCGCTTCTCTGTGAGGGCTTCCTACACTGGAAGGCCACGAGTACCCCTCCCTGGGGATGAGAGGACAGGGTGACCCCATCTTCCACACACACCCCCACCAGCACAGTGGGACTTCGGAAAGAAACACAGTGCCTCCAGTGGAGGCTGGAGTCCCTTATACCAAACTCCGCCCCCTGCATCTGGCAGGGGCATTTTTAAAAAGGCCCGTCTGACTGTGAGACAGAGCAGCGGGCCTCTCCCTCAGAAGATCAACACAGGCCCCCCTCATGTACTAGGTCTACTGATCATAGAGTGCTCCAAAGTCTCAGTTTCAATTCTGGTGGAAATCGGATCAGGCTTTCTTTTTATTTTTAATACATTTATTTTATTTTATTCTTCTTCTTTTTTCCTTGGAATCAGGCTTAAGGTTTTTATTCTTTGTTGGTTTGTTTGTTTACTTTTCTCATTTTTTGGATCAGGCTTTTCTTTTCTTTTCTTTTCTTTTTTCCTTCTTACTTTCTTATTCCTTGGAATCAGGCTTAAAGTTTTTGTTTGTCTGTTTCCTTCCTTTTTTGTTCCTTTTCCTTTTCTCTTTTCTTGGATCAGACTTTTTATTTTTTATTTTTTAAAAGCAGGCTTATCTTAACAAACAGATCAAAGCACACTTAGTTAAATGTCCAAACACTCCCCACTCTAATTAAAACACCATAGGGTATCAGAATGGATAAGAAAAAACAAGACCCATTGATATGCTGCTTACAAGAGACTCATTTTAGACCCAAAGCCACCTCCAGATTGAAAGTGAGGGGGTGGAGAACCATCTCATGCTAATGGACATCAAAAGAAAGCTGGAGTAAGCCATACTAATATCAGTCAAACTAGATTTTAAACCAAAGACCGTAGTAAGAGATGAAGGGCACTATATCATAGGGAAGGGGTCTATCCAACAAGAAGGTCTAACAATTGTAAATATTTATGTCCCCAACTTGGGAGCAGCCAAATATATAAATCAATTATTAACAAACTTAAACTCATTGATAATAATACAGTAATAGTAGGGGACTTTAAAACCCCACTCACTGCAATGGACAGATCCTCTAAGCAGAAAATCAATAAGGAAACAATGTCTTTGAATGACACACTGGGCCAGATGAACTTCACAGATATATTCAGAACATATCCTAAAGCAGCAGAATACACATTCTTTTTGAGTGCACGTGGAACATTCTCCAGATTAGATCGCATACTGGGTCACAAATCAGGCCTCAACCAGTACAAAAAATTGAGATTATACCATGCATATTTTCAGACCACAATGCTATGAAACTTGAAGTCAACCACAATAAAAAATTTGGAAAGACCACAAATACATGGAGGTTAAAGAGCATCCTACTAAAGAATGAATGGATCAACCAGAAAATTAAAGAAGAAATAAAGAAATACATGGAGGCAAATGAAAATGAAAACATGACAGTCCAAACCTTTGAGATGTAGCAAAGGTGGTCATAAGAGGGAAGGATATAGCAATACAGGCATTCCTCAAGAAGCAAGAAAAGTCTCAAGTACATAACCTAACCTTACAACTAAAGGAGCTGGAAAAAAGAAGAGCAAATAAAGCCTAAGACCAGCAGAAGAAGGGAAATAATTAAGATTAGAGCAGAAATAAATGATATAGAAATTAAAAAAAAGAGACACCTGCGTGGCTCAGTTGGTTAAGCATCTGCCTTCAGCTCAGGTCATGATCCCAGAGTCCTGGGATCAAGTCCCACATCAGGCTCCTTGCTCAGCGGGGAGCCTGCTTCTCCCTCTCTCTCTGCCTGCCGCACTGCCCCCCCCGCCACCGCTTATGTTCTCTCTCTCTGACAAAAAATAAAATCTTTAAAAAAAAAAAGAAATTAAAAAAAACCACAGTAGAACAGATCAACGAAACTAGGGGCTGGTTCTTTGAAAGAATTAACAAAATTGATAAACCCCTAGCCAGACTTATCAAAAAGAAAAAAGAAAGGACCCAAATAAATAAAACCACAAATGAAAGAGGAGAGATCACAACCAACACCACAGAAATACAATTATAAGAAAATATTATGAGCAATTATATGCCAACAAATTGGGTAATCTGGAAGAAATGGATAAATGCCTAGAAACATATAAACTACACAACTGACACAGGAAGAAATACAAAATTTGAACAGATCTATAACCAGCAAAGAGATTGAATCAATAATAAAAAATCTCCCAACAAACAAAAGTCCAGGGCCAGATGGCTTCCCAGGGAAATTCTATCAAACATCTCAAGAAGAATTAATACCTATTCTTCTGAAGCTATTCCAAAAAATAGAAATGGAAGGAAAACTTCCAAACTCATTCTATGAGGCCAGCATTACCTTGATTCCAAAACCAGACAAAGACCCCACTAAAAAGGAGAATTTCAGACCAATATCCCTGATGAACATGGATGCAAAATTTCTCAACAAGACACTAGCTAATCAAATCCAACAGTACATTAAAAGGATTATTCACCATGATGAAGTGGAATTTATTCCTGGGCTGCAGGGGTGGTTCAACACTCACAAATCAATCAACGTGATACACCACATTAATAAAAGAAAGGATAAGAACCATATGATCCTCTCAATAGATGTAGAAAAAGCATTTGACAAAATACAGCATCGTTTCTTGATTAAAAACCCTCAAGAAAGTAGGGATAGAAGGAACATAGCTCAACATCGTCAAGGTCATATATGAAAGGCCCACAGCTAACATCATTCTCAATGGGCAAAAACTGAGAGCTTTTTTCCCCTAAGGTCAGGAATAGGGATGTCCACTCTTACCACTGTTGTTCCACATAGTACTAGAAGTCCTAGCCTCAGCAATCAGACAACAAAAAGAAATAAAAGGCTTCCAAAGCAGCAAGGAAGAAGTCAAATTTTCACTTTTCACAGATGACATGATACTCTATGTAGAAAACCTGAAAGACTCCACCAAAAAATTGCTAGAACTGATACAGGAATTCAGCAAAGTTGCAGGATATAAAATCAATGTACAGAAATCTGTTGCATATCTATACACTAATAATGAAGCAGCAGAAAGAGAAATCAAGGAGTCAATCCCATTTATGGTTGCATCAAAAACCATAAGATACCTAGGAATAAACCTAACCAAAGAGGCAAAGGATCTCTACTCAGAAAATTATAGAACACTTATGAAAGAAACTGAAGAAGACACAAAGAAATGGAAAAACATTCCATGCTCATGGATTGGAAGAACAAATATTCTTAAAATGTCTATACTACCCAAAGAATACATTCTACACATTCAATGCAATCCCTCTCGATATAACAGCAGCATTTTTCACAGAGGTAGAACAAACAATTCTAAAATTTGTATGAAACTGGAAAAGATCCCACATAGCCAAAGTAATGTTGAAAAAGGAAAGCAAAGCAGGAAGCATCACAATCCCAGACTTCAAGCTATTACAAAGCTGTTATCATTAACACAGTATGGTACTGACACAAATACAGACATATAGATCAATGCAACAGAATAGAGAGTCCAGAAATGGACCCTGAACTCTATGGTCAACCAATCTTCAAAAAAGCAGGTAAGAATATCCAATGGAAAAAAGACAGTCTCCTCAATAAAAGGTACTGGAAAACTGGACAGTGACATGCAGAAGAATGAAACTGGACCGTGACATGCAGAAGAATGAAACTGGACCACTTTCTTATACCATACACAAAAATAAATTCAAAATGGACGAAAGACCTTATGTAAGACAGGAAACCATCAAAATCC